ACCGGGGTGGTTTTAGCCGGTAAGAGTCCGGCACACCCCTCCGCCTGTCCCCAGGCAGAGGCAGTCCATGAGGATTTCCCCCCCCCGTAAAAAAAAAAAAAAAAAAGGTTAGGTTAGGTTAGGTTAGGTTAGGTTAGGTTAGGTTAGGTTAGGTTAGGTTAGGTTCCACCCCGAACGGGTTCCCGCTTTGTCGTGGCGGGGGGCTTAGAAGCCGTGGCTTGGTCACCCACGGCGAAACAAAGAGGAACCCATATGGCTGGTCCGAGGTGGAGGGCCGGCCCGAGGTGGCCACTCCGAGTGGGCTTGGGAAGCCCACTTTGGATGTGTGTTGGTGGACTGCGGTGAGAGGTGTGTCCTCCCCCACCTACCGCTGCAGCCGTGGTGGAGTCGCGGAGGAAGAGGAGTGTTGGTATGGCGATGCGCCACTCGCCCTATCCTCCGCGACTCAAACGGGGCCGCACCGTTGATGCGGTGGTGGTGGGGCTGCGGGTGGAGAGGATTGTCGGTATTGCGAGGCGCCGCTCTCCCTACCCTCCGCAGCCGAATCTTGGTTGGCGGCGGAGCCATAGACCAGATCCGCCGCTGGGGTCAGGAAGGCTAGTACTTCTAAGTGCTCGTTTTTCCTGGCCCCATGGCCTTTGTGCATGGGACGCAGGGGCGTCTGTTGCACAGACGTAATTAGAGGCCGTGGAGGAAGGCGCGCCATGTGTTCTGGTGCGCCTTACCTAGAAGGAGAACGGGGAGGCATTTTCCTGTCCCGAGGAGGTGCTGCCATGTGGCGGCAGGCGCTAGTAGGGCCGCGGATGTGTGCGAAAGCGTTCCCGTAGCCCTGCCAATATGCGACAAAGGTGGAACACCATGGGGTTTTAGTGAGTCCGACATAACCCGTCCTTGCCCACGCGAGGCGGGTATGCGTAGGCATTTCCCCATGTAACAAAAAAAAGGTTAGTTTAGGTTAGGTTAGGTTAGGTTTTTTTTCCAATAAGTTTACTCTACAGACTCGAAGTCCGTACCTTTTTTTTGCTTTACCTTATTTTATTAACTTTTAAAACACTGTTATAAATGTACTCCTTACACTACTTACTTTACTTAAATATTTAAGCCTAAGCAGTGAGTTCACATATATATGTATATATATATTTTTTTTGTATTAATTTTTTTCTATTGTCTTACATTCTTAAGATCTACAAACTGATATGCTTACATGCGACATGCACTTACACGCAATTTTTTTTTATTTTTTTTTTTACACTTTTTTTGTGTATTATTATTTTTTATTTTTTTTTCTATTGTTTTACATCCTTAAGATCTACAAACTGATATGCTTACATGCGACATGCACTTACACGCTATATTTTTTTTTTGGCATCAATTTTATTTACCTTTTTTTTTTTGATAATTAAACATAATAATTGTCGACCCATTTTGTGTTTTTATTCTTTCTTTTGTTCTTTTTTTTCCTTATGTAGTTATCAACATAATCTACATACTTAATGTATATGGCCTTACATGCTATGTTAATTTATTATATTACCAGATTTTCCTTTTTTTTTCCCTTTTCCTTGTACTTAATGTCGTGGAGAGTGCTCCATCTTTAACTGTTTGTGATATCTGTTGACAGGGCTTCCACAATAGCTTCGTCTCTGTTTCTAATTGCCATTTTCAGATTATATTCTTTGATTCTTTTCGTTGTCGCAGCCATTGCGCTCTCAATCAGCCTCCCAGTTGCATCGTTGCAATCGTTCGTCTAATAAACACAGCTTTCTGTGTGTCTGGACACTGCCACTACTGCGTGTTGGACGCTGTCATAAATTTTGAGCTTCTCTGTTGTTGCCCTCATTATGACCACTCTCTTGTATGTGAGACCTTGGGCCTCATGTACGGTTAAAATTCGCGACCCAGGACCCGAACCATATCCCTGGCTGGTAAGGGACTCCTTTTCTGCTTGCGTAAATACAAGATATAAGGTGTCGGGCAGGGTACCTGGTATGACGACTCCCGTGTACCTCTTCCTTTCTAGTGAGTGCACCTGAGATCTGGATGAGTAAATGCCACTGTAGATTTCATTCAGGGCATATGCCACATCCATCGAATTCCGGTGCGTACACAGGAGCTCTTGGCTGATAGTGGTCACGAGGCTTGGGCGAGTATATTGCATCGCAAAGAGGTTTTCCCTGTCGATATAAGGGAGTTGATTGATGTCACCAAAAAGCAGTATTTTTTCCGCTCCACTTAGCCGCATTGCCATTACTATGGCCCCGAAATGGTTCATGAGAGCTTCGTCGACTAAAAGTCGAGTACATCTTCCCTTTTGCCTTCTCATACCATTTACTAAAACTGAGGCCATAGTGCGCACTTTTGTTTTTGCGTCAGTGGCTATGCGGTTGGCTAACTTTTCTCTAAGATCTTTAGCTGCTTCTGTTGTTGTTGTGACAATCAAATCATCCTCCGCATCGAATTGGTTTATAACCCAAGTTGTTTTGCCACATCCCGGGACTCCATTGACCCAATTTATCTTCGGCACCGTCCAGTTTTCCCAAGAATCTCCCAATGCACAGGCTCCCGAGATGGTTTCCGCCATTTTTAGGATCCTGTCCTCTAGCATCACCCTGGTACACCGGCGGTGACCACAATAGGGTCGTTGGGGGGGGAGGGGTTTGAATACTAATCTTCCCTGTCGTTCTGTCTCCTCCTCATCCAAGGCTACGAAGCCCGCTGACCCGCTATAAGCCGCCATGTGATGACCCATTTTACCTCTTATGACAGTAGATGTTTTGTTGTCATAAATTGCTGCCTCTGCTTCCTCGAGCTGCACCCCAAGGAACTCATGACTACCGAGGTGGAAACTTTGTAAGATATTCTTGCAAGTAGTTTGGTTCACCTCAAGAGTTGCTTTTATGAGGGCCTTAAACTCTAAAAAAGCGTTGATTATGTGGTCTTTAGGCTCGACCGCTGGTAGAAGTCTTGGAGGGCTGACACGTCCCGAACAGGGTCTAGTGTGGGTGGGTTTGGATTTCTTGAGTACTCTTGAAGGCTCTCTTATTAAGTTATCGGCTTGTCTTAACTTGCTCAACTTTCGCATTGCTCTTCCTGGAATGCTCTGGGCCGCTGCACTGATGGTTTTAATTAGTGCACTTACCCCGCTTTGTGACTCAGAACTTTTGCTAAGTTTTTCCCTGGCTGCGGCCTTTTCTTTGGCCGTTTTCAGTTGCAGGCGTTCTGAGCCACTAAGTGTCTCTGGATTTGCTACAAGATGTTGGGTTGCCTTTGTTGAGTCGTGACGTTTTGAGAGTACTGCCGTTTAGTAAGCTTGCGAGACCGGGAGATATTTTGACATAGTTTCGGCCAGTTGTTAAGCAAAAACTTAAGCCGAAACGCTCTGTGTTGTTATCCATGAAGAGAGCTACTCTTCGAATTCTCAGGCCTGGGTTACCTCTTTCAGCGCATGCAAATAGCTGATGGTCTGCTTTATTGGCTGGGATGCTCTTCTCCTTTACGGAGACCTCTGCGAATTCCGCAACAGTTTGCTGCTGTCTGGGGAATGGATAGTACGTGGCGTTACGCTTTGCAGCAGCGCGAAAGATGGACTCCACGAATGCCAGAAATTTGGGCCTTTTTTCTTCGTCTTCGATGATTTTGTGTAGGTCAGACTTGTCAAGATTGGTGTTTATGCAAAACTCGAGATCCAGACGTGCCGCCTGATAGCGGGGACACTCCAGAATCACATGCCACACTGACTCACTGACATTGGGATCGCACTCGCACCCTGGTGTATCCTTAAGCTTAAAGCGGTGGAAGTATTCCGCAATTCCACCATGTCCTGTTAACACTTGTACCTGTGTGGGTGTCAACTTCGTCTTTCTCACTATCCGGTATGCTATTGCAACATCCGGTAGGAATATTTTGGTGACTTGCCCAGTGGTCGAGGTCTCGTATCTGTCCTGCCAGATTCGAACGGTTTCCTCTCTGATTTTCTTTTTAACGTAGGACATGGGGATTTTGTCGTAGTCTGGAGTGGCTGTCTCCCTGAGTGCCGCCGCCTTGGCAAGCTCATCAGCTCTCTCATTTCCAGACGTGCCTACATGAGCCCTCAACCAAAACAGCCGTATCACTCTTCCCTCTTTTCTCATCTTCCCTATGCTTTCTTGAATGGCCTTTGATAGGGGGTGGCTTGCTTTAGGGTTTGCCAGCAGATCGAGCGAAGATCTTGAGTCACTTATAATGTTAACGACAGGTTTAGTGCTCGATTCAGCTAGTTTGGTCGCCCTGAGCAAGGCATAGAGCTCGGATTGGAAGACTGTACAGGATGGATCCAGTCTAAAGGTGGAACTACTGATCTCCCTACCATCTTCTCACCACGTTAAAGCTGCTCCGACCCTCCCTTCTATCTTACTTCCATCGGTGTATATGTGAGGGCCAGTTAGTTGGTGGAGGTTTGTGTTTCCGATTGTTTCCAGTAGCTCATATTCCAATTTGACGAGTTTAGAGGGATGAGGTTGATCCAAGTGATATACACGGTTTTCAAGCTCTCTTCCTGGTGGTAAATAGTCCAGTGTGCCTTGTTTCCTGGTTTGGTACAAGCTGGACGCTTCTTTTATTCTCAGGTCTAACAGAAGCAGACCCGAGATGGCAAGCGCGGAAGTGAGCGATACCGTGCGGTACGCTTTACAGATCTTCTGCGCGAAGCCCCTTTGCAACGTGTTTAGTTGGTCTTTGATCATCTGAAGTTCTGTTGCTGAGGACCACGCGCTCGAAGCGTACATCACTATAGGTTCGACGACTGCAACGTATATTGTCCTTACAATCTCACCATTGAGACCCCAGGTCACCTTGGCCGCGCATGCAAGCTGTTTGTATATGTCAGCCGCTTTGTTGCATACGGCTGCTACATGTGGTTTAAAGGTGAGTCCACGGTCAATGATGAGACCGAGTACTTTAATTTCCTCTACGAGAGGGAGTGTAAGTTAACAGCTTTAGAGAGTCTGCAGTCCCTCTACGAGATGGTCCTGGCGCTGTCAGATTCCAGATCTAGACATAAGCATAATCTAGAAAGGGAACGCTCACGCAACGCTCAAGAACTAATGCGAGTGGAGCGCGCCCATAACAAGATCATCACCCAGCTTATGAAGGAAATGGCTTCCGAACTAGGCCATGCCAGGACAGATATAAAAAATACCCTCCAGGAATCCAAGGCGATACGGGGTTGGTTGAACTTTGAAACCCAAGAGCCCTTCCGCAAAACGAGTGACCTACTCAAAGCTGTGACGGACTTAGACAAGCGCATAGGTGTGATCCAGTCGAACTTGAGTCAGCAGAAGCAAGAAGGTGCAGACAACATCTTATCTCACCTAAGAGTGGACCTTACTGGAGTAAAATCTAGTGTGGAAACACTCAAACTTCAATTGGACGAAATGCGCAGAGTCATCGAAAAGTCCGAAAACAACACCAAGAAGGTTCTGGAGACCGGCCAAAAAACTCTGCTACGCCTGGAGTCACCACCATCCCACCCCTCAGAGGAAATAAGTAAAACGTTGGAACATGAGCTGAATGGAATGAAGAGTTCGCTGAAGGAGATAGATACAAGTATCAGATCTGGACTTTCAATCTTACCTTCAGCGGACTCCAGTAAAATATTCCAAACCAGCATAAGGGAACATCTTCAACCAATAGAAGAACACTTAGTTGCAATGTCATCCGAGCTGAGGACGATGAGAGAGCAGAAGCAACGGGCCCCATCACCTACAGCCCCAAGTCTAGCAACAGAGCTTGCACAAACTGGCGAAGCAGCAACAAAGCCAAAAAAGACATACGCCAGAGTGGCTGCAAGCCCTCCCCTTCCTAAACCCAATCACACTCTCATTATCACATCAACTGATTCGAAAAACACAGCCGAAAACATCATCGAGAGAATCAGGGAGGCTCTAGACACAAAAAAAGACTGGAGCCAAAGTAGATAGGGTAAGGAAGGCGAAAAACCAAAAAGTCGTCCTCAGTTGCAACACCAAGGAGGACCTTAACCTTGTCCAAAATAGAGTTAAGACAAATAAAAGTTTAAAAGTAGAGGTTGCCAGAACAAACAATCCCTTGGCGATAATCAGGGACGTGGTATCGTATCACACAGACGTCGAAATCGTGGAAAATATACTGGCGCAGAACAAACACCTTCTGCATGACGTCGATGAGAAAGAACGAACAGTCAGAGTTCGATACAGGAAAAAGGCGAGGAATCCACAAGAGTGCCATCCTGTACTTGAGCTCTCTCCAAAAGTGCACAGGCGCTTCATTGATGCGGGTAAAATTTACATCGGCCTCCAAAGAAGACCAATAATGGATCACTCTCCCCTTGTGCAATGCACAAAATGCCTCGGTTTTGGCCACACAAAAGCAGTGTGCCATGAAAAGGAGGAACTCTGCAGTCACTGCGGAGAGACCCATTCATGGGACAAATGCCCGATCAGACTGGAGGGAGACCCCCCCGATGTAAAAATTGCCTCAAAGCGCACGGTGCCGATACGGACCTGGCACACAATGCTTTTAGCTTTGATTGCCGGGAAAAGCACAAGTGGGATGCAATAGCACGGTCCCGCATATCTTACTGCTAAGGGCAACCAAAATAATATAAACTCCAACATTAGTAGGTCAGACCTCAAAATCATTCAGGTGAACTTGCAACGCTCCAGGGTAGCAACGGCGGAACTACTTCAGGTTGCATCGAATAAAGGAGTGTCGATTGCCATAATACAGGAACCCTATGTGGGAAAAAATGGCGTTATTAAAGAAAATCCTGGCACGCGAGTAGTTCAATGCAGCCTGAATAGACAAAAACCGGTAAAGGCCGCAGTGCTGATCTTCGGAGATCAGCTGGAGATTATCCATGATCCACAGCTGGTTACCGAAACAGAAGCGGCAGTACTTCTCGTTGCAGGAAATTTAAAACTGGGAGTCGTGTCAGTTTACCTCGAGGCAGACCAAGATATAAATCCCTACCTTAGGCGAATCCAAGCAGCTTGCGCAAAACTTCACACAAACAACATCATAGTGGCTGGAGACATAAATGCTTGGAGCCAATGGTGGGGGAAGTAATTCCGAAGATGAAAGAGGCGCGGCATATAACACCTTCCTCAATGAAATGGATCTCCATATTCTGAACACGGGTGACACGCCTACCTTCGAAACATACAGAAGGGGGAGAATTTGTTCGAGCATAGTAGACGTCACTGCTTGCAGTTCGTCACTTCTCGGCAATGTGGAGGACTGGAGAGTGGAGAGAAGCCTAATTACATCAGACCACAACGCGATTATGTTTACACTGCGCACCAAAGCGGTCTTGACTATAATAGTCTTTGAATATTCTACTTTCATTTCTACCTCTCTGTCACCCACTATTCGACGGGATAAACCTTTCTTTATTAAATAAAGCGAGGTTGCTTCCCGGATCCTTAGATCCAAAGGAAGCATCCCGGCGAGTAGTAGGGCTGAGTGTAATGATACCGTCCTGTACGATTTTATAATTTTTTGTGCAAACCCGCGCTGCACCATATCGAGTTGTTTTTTAACTTTTTGTTTGTTAACTGCTGTCACCCAAGCACTGGCCGCATACAAAACGATCGGTTCCACCACCGCAGTGTATATAGTCCTGATAATCTCTGGGTTTAGGCCCCAATGAATCTTTGCGGCTCTCGACAGCTGATGGTACAGGTCCTGTACCCTACAACATACATTTTTTACATGTTTGTCGAAGGCAAGCCTGGCCGATGCTCTTCCCGCCCATCTCCAGAAGTGGTGCGTCGTACTTAAGTTTGTTTGTTATTATCATCGCTTTGGTTTTATCTGGTGCAAACTTAAGTTTATTTCTCGCTCCCCACTTGTGGACATGTGCAAGAGTCACATTTGCCCGCTCCTGAACCTGTTTTGCCGTGTCCCCAGAGAAAATCAGGACTACATCATCTGCAAAAGCCTGACAATGAGTCTCTTTCACACTCAATTCCCTCAATAGTGGGTCCAACAATACGTTCCAAAAGATTGGACCCCCTATTGAGCCCTGCACACACCCCTTTGTGGTATTTTTTACCCATTCTGTATCCCCCGCATATCTCAGGCATACTGTTCTGTCTCTGAGATAGCTATCTATCAGGCGTCTTAGGTTTACTGGGCATCCAGTCTTCGCAAGTCCACATCGTATCGCCGGCCACCAGGCATTATCGAAGGCTCCCTCTATGTCTAGTGATATCAGCAAAATGAGCTTTTTGTCTTTTAGCTTGGTTGTTATGAACTGCATCATATCATAGAGGGAGTCCTCGGTGGGGTGTGTTAGTCCCTTTTACCCGGTTTTCGTAACACTACCACTACCGCCTTCTTCCATTTTTTGGGGAAATATGTAAATTCCATACATTTATTGACCAGTGCCAAAAACAGTCCTAAATCCATGGTTATAGCCACTCTACAGATGTCTGCTGTAAACCCATCGTCACCTGGCGCCTTTTTTCGGATTAAAACTTGACACGGCCCACGTTAGTTTCTCCGCTGTAAAGGGTGGGTCACATGATCTATCAAGTGTCCCCTCATTTACTGTTTTAGCTGCTTCTCTCATCAACTCGTGTTCCGTGTCGTCCTCTTCGTTTTGATCCTCTGGATAAAAAGTCTCCGCCAGTACCCTAGCTGATTCTTCTCTTTCTAATGTTTTTACACCTTGTACAAGCGGAATATCTTCCTGTCGCACCATTGTTCGGCTTATCACTCGATACACACTATCCCACATAGTCTCTCGCTCCTGCTTGCTACAAAACTCTTTCCAACTGGTGGTCTGTGCCCTCTTTATTTCCTGCTGGTATTCTTCTTTCGCCCTTTTTGTACTGCTCGACCACCCACTCACGACGGACCGGCGCTGCGTATGAGATACGGCGTCTCAACCTGGAGACCTCCTTTTTCTGCTGTGTTAGCTCGTCAGTCCACCAGGGCAGTCCTACTCGTGTTTTATTATTTAACTTAGGTATACTCTATTCGCAGGCTTCTGCCATTGAATTTGTGAAATCGTTTATTCTTTCCTCTAATTCTTCCGTAGTTGTTAGTCCATCAACTGTTGCTTTATCTAACCTTTTGTCATTCCAAATCTGGGCAAGTTTCTCACGAAACTTGCTCCAATTTGCCTTTTTCGTATTGTATTTCCTAGTTGTTCTCTTTATATCCGTGCCTATTGATTTCTTTAAATTTATGTCAAATAGGATTGCCCTGTGGTCTGAACTAGTTATTTCATCGGATAGTCTCCAGTTATCTATCCTTCCGAGCAGGCTAGTCGAGCAAGTAGTAATGTCGACACAGCTCGATAATCTTTTCCCACCTCTTATAACATCAAATGTAGGCTCAGTTCCCCTGTTTAAAGTATGTGTGCCGGACGGGCGAAACTCTCCGGAGTAAATGTTGTCGAAGATACTTCGCGAGTCGCTCACGTCCTACACCTATAGGTTCCGGTGGGTACTCTCACCGCCGTCTTTGTTGGTACCGCTGAAATATTGTGGACTGTAGTTGAAATTAAAATGCACGATTAACAAATACAAATAGCAAGGTAGCGGCCAGCGGTTCAACTTATTGATTAATCGCGAAATTTTATAACTATTATTTATTGATCACTGTTGTTAAACTACGGTTGTTCACTATTGGTTGGTCACTGTATATTTCAAAAGCTTTCTTTAAATTGTACGGTGGTATCAAATATCTATTGGTAGTAGCTGGTTTTCTAACACTACTGACTAGCAGCTATTATCAACTAAACTAGTTGATTTTATCACTTGTGTAACTGCGGATATCAGTTATCACTTTCACTATATGTAACTGCGAATATCAGTTACGACCTTTTTTAGGCTAGCTAACACTTTCACTATGTAACTGTGAATGTCAGTTACGACCTTTTTAGGCTAGGTAACACTTTCACTATGTAACTGCGAATATCAGTTACGACCTTTTTCGGCTAGCTAACACTTTCACTATTCACTATATACTGCTACTAGTCACTTCAGCTACCACCGGATACCACTCACTTCACTTCACTTGTCACTGGTAGTTCTTCACACTACTACTGGTACTGGGTCCCGAGCCCCTAAGGTAGACTCTAGCAATACTTTACAGTGAGCCGCTTGCCATTTTCCGTTTTGCCTCTTTATTGCATAAACATTTCATTATACAAATGGCATAAATTGCAATATTCTCTATACAAAACTAATTGCTACACTAACATGCTATACATCATTAAATCGGTAGTCTGATACTTTATTAGTATATCATAAAGGTTACTAAAAACATTAACATTGTAAAAAGTTATTAAACGAAATGTCCCAAATTTTCATAATATTTGGGCATTTTAATTCTTTAATTTTTCTATAACTACGAAATGCGTTTAATTATACAAAGTATTCCTACACTTTCTTAATCTATAAGTCATATGCTAATTCAATGTCATATTTATAACTCTTTTAGGACATAAAATTATTTTCATTATTTTCACTTTGAACTATTACGCAGTTAATTAAAAAACTTCTAGAGAGTTCTACGATAAGACGCGCTGTGATTGGTCGATTTTTTGGTATATAATAAAAGTTGTTTATATTACTTGTTATCAAAACGACATTCTATACAAACATACTAAGAGTTATAAATATGTTAAACAACTATATTAATACACGTTTTCACTCAGTTTTCTTGGTAATTTCACTATTAATACATAAAACAATATTCTTTATCATTTTGTTTCTTAAGGTTGTTAGGCCGTCGCGAACAGTATGTAGTTCCAATTCGTCAAGTTTTGCAGCAAGCTCCACCCCTCTAATGTCTGTTTCCCGACTTCCCCACCAGGTGTTCCACGCATTTACGTCACCACCGAGTATCACGTTCCTTGTCCCTATGCTTTCCACGGCCGTTCCTATTATGTTCAAATATTGTTCGATTGGTTTATCCCCCTCTAGGT